ATGAGAATAAGTGATCTAATACAGCGGGTGAATTCCTAGCAGTTTAGTCACTGAGCATGGAGGCAAAACAGACCTTGTGTGATAACACACCTTGATGTCCTCAAAAATACATTCCATGCCTTCCTAGAGACCATGATTTATCTTTCTATCTTAGAAATCCTACAAGTAATATTTGTTAAATAGAAATTTTCCAGATTCTTAATATTAGGAAACTAAAAGATCCCTTTAAGCCCCTTTTTGAAATGTGTATATTGCCACATGCTGGCATATAGGTTAGTGCACTAGCATATCCATATGTAAGTATGGCCCGCAATTGTGATCAATCATTCAAGGAACAAGCAACATGAAAGTTATGACCTCTCCCCAGAAAAACGTACCTGGATGTACACTGGACATTATTTCAGGAGATCTCTGGGCTCTAGAAGCTCGCCATACCTAAGGCTCAGAGTTTGTGATGCCTGGCCCCTCACAGGAATATAAGGATATCATAATCTTTTCCCAAAGGAATTTATAGGTGCTAGTGAGTTCTCTGTCTGCCACACTTCAGGAGGCAAGTTCATTGACAAACATGGCTTTCCACATCCTTGGTCTCCACTGGTTCTCTTGGTTGCCCAGACAAAGCAATATTTATCTGTGAGTCCCCGATCCCAATAACTAATGCAAACGCAGCAACACATTATGAATCACAAGTATAGACCACATTAGCAGTATCATCGAGACAATCCAGTGCAGAGAGGCAGCAAAGGACAGAATCATCCAGAAGGGAGGCTGGACCCAGATAGAGGGGAAGTTGGGGAAAGCTCATCTGCTGTCAAAATCAACAAGTACAATGTTGACAGTGGAGGCCCAGATGTCCTGTTAAGAAATTTCCTACTTAAACAGTCTCAAAAAGTTGGCAACTGTCCTTGTGGGAACCAACAGCAGGGGCAGCAGCTGTAGTGAATGAATCAGAAGTGTCCTTTCTACACATCTGGCTTCATCTTCATCATGCCCCTCCTCTGCTCAAGTTCTTCTGGTAGCTTCTCATCTCACAGAGACAAAGAGCTAAGGCCCGCAAAGCCCTACACAGTCTGTGCCCCAACCCTGACCTCTCTGACCTCATCTGCTCTTTCTACTCCAGCCACACTGGTCTCCTTGCTGCACCTTGGATACACTAGGCATGTTTCTACAGGGCCTTTGCATTTGTCTTTTCCTCTACCCAGACTCTCTCTCTCTGGGATATCCTCATGGCTCCCTCTCTCCCTTAAAGTCTTTACTCAAATATCATCTTGTCAGAGAGGCTTTCCCTGATCATTCTTTTGAGAAATAACAACACTACCCATCCCTCACCATTCCCCATTCCTGTTTTATCTTTCTCCATAGCACTAAGCACCATTTAACATGCTACTTAGTTTACTTATCTTTTGTCTTTCCTCAAAAAGAATGTAGGTTTCATGCAGGCAGAGATTTTTGTCAGTCACTTGCAACTCACTACTATATCCCCAAGGGCTAGAATATGGCTAGTATGGTGCCTACCCCACGGGGTTGTTGAGAAGATTAAATGAGTCATGTCAAACCTAACAGCACAGAGCATATAACAAGAATTATGTAAATGTTGGCTATTATTTGAATTTTGTTTTATTTTATTATTTTTAAAAAATGTTTATTTTTGAGAGAGAGAGTGTGAGCAGGGGGGTGGGGGGAGAGAGGGAGACACAGAATCCGAAGCAGGCTCCAGGCTCCAACACGCGAACCACGAGATCATGACCCGAGTCAAAGTTGGACGCTCAACTGACTGAGCCACCCAGGCGCCCCATTTTGAATTTTGTTTTAAACTTCATGACAACCTAATGAGTAATTACTACTATGCCATTTTACATATTAGGAGACTGAAGCTCAGAGTAACTCACTTGAGGTGACATATTGGCAACTGGCAGAACCAGGATTCAAACCCAGATCTGACTCTAAGTTCTATGTGCTCATTCCCCTCACTCTGCTTTGTAATTCCCAGCACAGAAGAGAGGCAGCAATCCATTCATTCTGGAACAAGCCCACAAAGCCTGAGAAGGCTCCAGCCCAAGGGAGTGGGGGGCAGGGAATAAAGTCTCTCGAATCCAGAGACCTTTGTATTGCATGAATCTGAAATGGCGTGTGGCATTCTGTTTACTTCCTAACTTCACCGAAAAATGTAGAAGAGCCTGCCAATTAAAAAATGTTTTCATGACCCCAGAAAATCCATGTATTGGAGACATTTACTTAAACAGTCATTCTACCAAAACAGGAAAAAGAGGTAGAGAGAGGAGTTTATTATAACAGCTGCTTTCATACCCAAAACAAGGTTTGGCTGTTTTTGGCAAGTTGTACCGTCCTAATGTTGGCAAGAAGCTGATGGACTGCGTGAGTTTCCTTTCAAAAGATCATTTTGCTTCCTTAGAGAAACCCATGACTGGACTATCTAGTGTGAATTGCAGATGTTTGTTCCTCCTTTGCTCCTCTGTCCTCCTGGGGCTTCCACCCTGCCCAGGCCTAACCAGGTCATGAGCTTGTAGAGCAGAAAGAGCGTAGGCTTTGGATTCACAAAGATCATGGTTAGAATCCACTGTTTCTTTTATTAGCTGTGCAGCACTCTGAGACTCAGGGTCCTCGTCCACAGGGCTATGTGAGGAGTAAGGAAGGCAGACGTCACTCCTAGCATGTTACCAGGCACCGCCAGCAGCTATTATTATAATATAGTTTTTATGATGATTTTTAGGTGGCTAGAGGCTTGAGTCCCAATTTCCTCTGAGGGTTCGTTTGAGACATTCCACTTTGCAAAATGCACATAGCAGAGGATGTAAAATGCAAATACTCTCCTGAGGGCTTTTTAAAGAGTGACTTACCTGCACACCCCACCCCTTCAAACCTACAAGGTAGGCAAGAAATGACAGAAAGATAGATGTCAGAATCTCCCTGCAAATGTCGTTACTCTTGGGCTCCAAAAGGAGAGGAAAGGGAAGAGATAAAAGGGGACCTGATGATGGCCTGGAGGCTAGGGCTTCACTGGGTTTTAAACTGGAAATCCTACAGGAAGCAAAAGGCTCCTGGTTCCTAGAACTGGGGCTGTGCTGGGCTGCGCCTCCCGTGACACACCAAGTACACAGTGGCTGAAACCATTTCAATGCTAATGATTTCCAGATGACGGGAGAACAACCAGCACATGATGCACTCAGCACAAGTGAGCCCAAGGGATCTGATGCCCATCAGCAGGGCTGGTGGCCCACACTCATAAAGAACCTATATGAACTAGAAATGGACCCCCAGCAAACTTGGATCCCCTGGCTGGACTGTACTATTCCAGTACTGGATCAGTCAGCACAGAAGTCACCTCCCTCCCTCCTCCAGCAATGCTTGCTCCCCAGCATCCAAGTCTGAGGCTCACAGACAACACAGGTCTTGTTGCACAAAGGAAATGAGCTTCCCAAAGCATTTGGGAGATGTGTGCTGGGCTGGGTTTTTGGACCCATGCTATAGTGGAGGGAATCCTTGGCCACTGCTGGCAGCTTTGAAGACCTATTTTTGACTTCAAAAGCCTTTAATCCTCTGTCTATTCAGAGCCTGAACTTGGAGCATTTGCCTTTCAAAGAAAGATAGGGAAGCCAATGAGCAGCACGCGGAAAGAAGATTCAAGGAGCACCCCTCATTGGGCACCTTTAAGCCCTACTCTTTGGCTCTAGGCTGGCAAAAAGTGGGGTTGGGGGGGGGGGGCTACATCCTTCCCCACTGAGAGGACTGAGGTTTAATTCAGACATTAAAACATCCCATATCCCAAATACCAGTTCAACCAAAAGGAAAATATGTGATTGTGCACGTCAGCCCCAACCCCATATCTAGGGGTGATTGTCCAAATATTTAATAAATGCTTTGGCATGGGCACTGATCAATCAGACGGAATATACCATGGTGCTCCCTGCTAAGCATCAGCCCTACCTATATCCTGACAGAGATGTTTTAAAAATACCACAGCAATTACTTGTGGGTGGAATATCCCAGAGCAGCCAACACTTTCCACTGTTGACACGCAGCTCTCACTGCCTGGAACTTTGCCTGGAGGGCGCCCTGCTCCATGGTCACCTGGCCACACAGAGCTCAATGGTACATCAGAAGATGGACTGCGTGCTCCAGTTGTGAATTAAAAACAAGAACTGTTATAAAAGTAGACGATGAATGGCTATTTTAAGTTGCTCCACTGTTTTGGGAAAGGAGCTGTGAGGACAGGTGCCAGGGCTTGGAGAAAATTCTTCCATTCCTGTCAAATTGCGTAAAAACCCTAAGTGTATTATTGCTTTGTGAATGAAAAAACTCAGATGTGATTGCCACAGGTCCTTGAGCATGAAGACCCACATCAAGTCCCGAAGGGCATGGCTAGGGAGGGAGAAAGAAAGAAGCAAACAGCACCCAGTGCCCAGCCTCCAGAAACTTACAATCGAAGTCTTTGCAATTACTGTCATAGTTGTAGATAACTAGGCTCCTTCCATGCAACAGTCTGTCACTACTCAGCAGGGAAAGACTGTAAGTGCTAAAGGAGATACTGACAGAACCACAGTTGTTTTGTCTTATTTATTTATTTATTTATTTATTTATTTATTTATTTATTTATTTATTTATTTATTTATTTATTTATTTTAAGAGACAGAGTAGGGGGGGTGCAGTGAGAGAGGGAGGGAGGGAGGGAGGGAGAGAGATCCCAAGCAGGCCCCATACTATCAGCACAGAGCCCAATGTGAGGCTCGAACTCACGAACTATTAATGATCAGGACCTGTGCCAAAATTAAGAGTCAGATGATTCAGGTGCCCCTGTTTTGTCCTTTCAGGACTCTTCTGACACAGTGTTTTTCTTCCCAATCTATTTTCCCTTCTCCTCCTCACTCCTAGTAGATCGCTACCTTCTCCATTCTCACCTTTCTTTTCCTTCTTTCCCTAGAACCAGTTCTCCATGGCAGTCTCTTTGATTCTTAGCAGCTCTATTTCTTTCTTTCCAACAGTGCCTTCAAGAACCTTACATCTGGACCACCAGAAAGAACCCCGAGTGCTTGTGACTGAGGATAGAGTGGGGCAAGGTAGAAATGTGAAGGATGGTTTCCAACAACATGCCCCCACCAGCCCAGGATTCCTTCTGGTAGGCCAGAGCTGGATGGACTGTTCACTCTTTTATCACAAACTAGATCTTCACTAGGAGAAAAAGTTAGAACAGGTCACTTACTCCCAGCCCAGATCCATGCAGCCTAAAAATTCTGTTAAAGCAAAAAAGGAAAATTGGAGGATAAAAGGAAGAAATAAAAGGAATAAAGAGGAGAGAGAGACTCAATTTCAGAGTGATCACACTGGATACAGGTCAAGGTTCAAAATACTAAAACTGTTTTTAATGTTCCACTAAGTAGCAGCCTCTCAGTGCCTCTGACAAGTGATTTAAGACAAGTGGTCTGCTCCCAAGAGGGCTCATGAATCTCCATGCATGACGGTTAGATCGAGAGAGTCTGGAGTCACACAGTTGGAAAGGTGGCAATGCAAAGGTCAGAAATACAAAGGAGGAGTCCATCCATCAACCCTGACAGGCGGGCATGCCCAGGATGGCAGAAGGGACAGGAGCCATCTGGTAGCTTTGCTTGCAAGACCAGATTAAGAAAGCACTAGCCCAGAAACCACAAAGGAGAAGATGGAGCTGTATTTCCGGAGGAAAAAGCAAAGACTTCTACCCAAAGCTGAGGTAAGAGCTTTATTTTATTATTTTTTTTTCCAGTGATGAAGAAAGAATTCTACTTCCCTCTGATTTGAATTATTTTTAGCATACATGCCTCAGCTTTGATGCCCAACACGTCTGGCCATGTCTCTCTTCCCCTGCCTGAAATTTTTCAGTAGCTTCCCACTGCCTAGAGCGTAAAACGTAAACTCCACCGCATGGCACCAAAGGCCATCACGAAGAGACCTCTGCCTAACACTTCTTGTCTTCTTCCCGCATTCTCAGCTCAGACTTCAGAGGACTTGCACCTTCCAGAACACATTACACTGTCTCATGATTTTCCCTCTGCTTCGAACACTTTCTCCTGCTTGCTTGCCTTCCTGCCCAAATTTTACTCATCCGCTATAACCCATCTAAAACTCCAGCTCCTCTGTGAATCCTGACTTCTAAGGCGTTCCCTCTCCTGGATGCCCACAGAACTTGAATGTGTTTCCATTCTACTAATTATCTTTTACCGTAATAGAGACTAGAGCTGTATCTTTCCTTCTTTTTGCAACCAGTGCCTAGCACACAGGCAGTGCCCCCAACATATTCAGAATATTCAGATATCATTTGTTTCAATTCTACACGTATACATATTTAATTACACACACACACACACACACACACACACACACACACACACACACACA